GCAGTGCTGGGCAAATGCCTGACACGGTGCCACTGCAGAGAAGTATGTGGACAGCTCTGACCCAAGAGCAATTCAGGAGCTTTAAGGGTGGGTGGGTGAGTGCGAAGTGCAGTCCCTTTATCCTCTCTCAAGCGCAGTGCAAAATGCCCCATCCATATGCTGCAGGCTCCAGGGCAAGAAAGGAGGTGCAGGATTTTGTGAGGGAAGCTGTTCATGTCCAGGAACAAATCCAGCACACAGTGCCAAGGAAGAGCCTTTTATTTATCAGCCAGCAAAGCTCAGTGGGTCCAAACTGAAAGGCGCTGGAGCCAATGAGCAAGGGCAGGGAGGCAGCAGGTGCTGGTGCTGCGGTGGTTTGGTGGCCCTGGGAGCGGCAGGCTGAGGATGGCGTTCCCATGTCACCACAGGGCCAGTCCTCAGCCCTGAGGCTCCTTCTCAGGGCACAGCATCCCTGCTGCCTGTGCTGTGCCTCCTCACCAGTGGTCTGGCAGCCTTTCCCCCATATAGGGGTAACTGACCCTGCTCAGGGTTAGCTGTGCCCCAGCGTTGTGGCCCCGAGCTCTCTGCTCTTGCTTCACCGCCTTGGGGCTGGGGGGGTGCTTCTGCCTCTCTACCCAGATCCTCATCTGCCCCCAGGTGCCCAGCCTGGAGCACTGCCCCTGCAATGAAGATGTCTGGGGGGGTGTTGCTTTCCCTCCCATTTCCTTGGCTGCTGCCTGGTTGCTGCTGCCCGCAGCTCCCCTCCTGTAGTGCCTCTCTGGTTTTGTCTTTCAGCTCCAGGGGCCCCTCGGCTGGGCCCAGCCCCTTGCTGGGGGACCCTGGTTCTGGGGCTCTGCCTGGCTCAGCCCTGGCCATGCTCCCTGTACCAGCTTGCTCTGTTCTACCAGCTCCTTCCTCCATCCCCTGCCCAAGTCCTGCTGCATCTGTCCTCCCTGCTGCCTCACATTGCCCTACAGCCTGCTTTTCCATCTCTGCTGCTGGGCTCTTTTCCACTTCCTCCTCTACTTTCTTGTCCTCCTCCCTCACATCTTTTTCTTCCTGCTCCACTTTCTCTTCTTCTTCCTCCTTCTCATCCTCCTCCTCTGCCCCTCTTTCTGCTCTCCATCTCTCTGGCTCTGCCCCACAGTCGTCCAGGTTTGCTTCTCCCAGTCCTGTCCCATCCCTTGCTTCCACCTCCAACCCAACAGGCTGCCTCTGGGCTGCTTCTCTTCCTGGAACTGCCCCTTCACACCCGGCTCCAAGGCTCCCTTGTTCTGTTTGGTCAGCCCCTGGTGGCTGCTCTGCCTTGGTCCCTGCACCCCGCTCCCCCTGCGCACACGTCTCCAGGATGCCAACGTCACCACGGGGTGACTCTTCCTGCGGCATCACCCCACTGCCCACTTCCCCCCTCTCCCGGCCCTTGCTGGCTCGTGGTCCTGGTGGTGACTGGAAGAGTCCCTGGTAGCGCTTCCGATCCTCCACGTGCTTCTTTCTCATCCTCTCCCCCAGCTGCTTCAGCTCCTTCTTCACAGCCGCTGCCATGGAGGGGTCGAGGTGAGCCACCCGCAGGAAGTCCTCCCGTGCCTCCCGCTCGTTCCAGACAGCGGCGTGGGCCTTCGCCCGCTTGAAGTAGGCCTTGGCGTTGTCTGCCGGGAGAGGAGAGCCCCCAGCAGGGGTCCTGCAGCCCAGGGCCAGTAGCCCCAGGAGCTGGAGACCCAGGGACCACAGAATAAAAGTACCATCATAGGTAGGGGACCATGAAGTGGACACACTTCTTGTAGGTAGGGGGGTACTGTGATGGGTAGGGGTCCCTGGGCCATGCATGTACCAACAGGGGGCAGGGGATGGAGGGATCATCGTGGGAAGTGGGCACCGTGGTGGGCAGAGGGATCTGGATGATATGGGACGAGGTGGGCAAGGGGACCTAGGGGACACAGGGGGTAGGTGCTATGATGGGTAGAGAAAACCAGGGACGAGGGCAGTGTTATGGGCAGGGGGACCTGGGACATGGGTTCTACAGTGGACATGGGGATCCAGATGACACAGGTACCATCACAGGCACAGGGGCATGGGATGAGCATTCTTATGGATACATGATGCAGAGGAAATTCCTCAGGGGCCACGGGCACAGTGGGGGTTGGGATACAGGACATGTGTACCATTGTGTTTCTGGAGAAGCTCTGTCGTGTGCTCCAGCACCTCGTAGTACTCGCCTAGCTCCAGCTGGCATTGGCAGTAGTTGAGCACCAGGGGCGTGACCAGGCTCTCCAGCTTCAGCCAGCCATCCTCCCACGGCTTCTCCTGCCCAGGGAGCCATAGCGGGTGGTTCAGGCCTGTGGCCATCACCTCCTGGGTACCCAGGGCCCACAGGGCACTGCTTTGCTGAGGAAACCCAGGCAGGGATGAAAGGAGGTGGCCGGATGCTGCTCACCTTGGCCTGGAGGTTCCTCAGGCAGATGACAGCCTCCTGGTACTTCGCTGCCGCCTGCCCAAACTCCTTGCGGAGGACCAGGCGGTTGCCCTCGCTGTGGAGCACAGGTACTGCTGCCAGCTTCTCCTCCTTGCTCATGGCCCAAGTGTCACGTTTGTATGCCGAGGGCTCCTCCACCTGCACGGCCAGGGGGAGCTGAATTGCCTGCCCCGGCCATCCCTTCCGCGGCAGCCGCCCCCCAGCCCCCCTTACCCGGAACAACTCCATGATGAAGATGAGGGGCTGCGGCGATCGCTGCAGCTCGTCCAGGTCCTCGTAGCCTGTGCTGTGGTAGTCAAACATGTTGCCCATGCCACAGCGGTGCTTCTGCCCTTCCAGGGGGTCCCGGCCCTCCGCTATCCTCCGCATGCCCCTGGAGACCAGGGCGTACATGCCTGTGTGCTGCAACGGGGGGAGCACCCTGCTCAGCTGTACAGGGCCAGTCTGCACAGGGGCACCCCTTCCTCTGGGGCACCCCCCCCTGTGCTGTGGCTACGTGACACTTGTGCCCCCTGTGCTTGCACCAGGCAAGGCTGGAGCGTCTGTGGGATGTATGGTCCCACCTGTGGGAGGCCCTGGCTCTGCAGAAAGGAGGGGAATGGGCATCTGTGGGTCCCTCACTCACAATGGCATCACACCAGAACTCAGCCACTTCCCCAGTTCTCATAGAACTTAGCAGTGTCTCCCAGATCTCCAGCTTGAACATCTTGCCCACAATGATCTCCATGGGGATGCCAGCTTCCCGGCTGTCATCGATCACTGTCCGCTCAAAGTCATCCTTCAGCGTCTGGAAGTGGAAGGTAATCTGCCCCAGAAAAAGCTCAGTGTTAAGCCAGGGCAGGCAATGCAGTGAGAGAGCTCTATTCCCTTACCAGCTCCATGGGGCCAGGATGCAAGGCCAGGATGCAGGGCCAAGCCTGCCCCCGGCAAGGTGCTGGTTTGAGTGGCAGCTCTCTATCTGCAGCAGGAGGCTGTGCCTCCTACACACTCGTCTTAGACAGCAAGCAGATGGTGAGTGCTGTACTTGCTGCACTCTTTGGATCTCCCTTTATAATCCAGTATAGATCGCTCCTACAGCACACACCAAGATCTGGTGGAACCACACTCATCTGCCCCTAGCCAGAGGCTGGGGAATCTCAGAAACCCTCACGAGCTCCCTGGTGGCACCTTTCACGCCTGTTTGACACACATCAGAAAAGGCAGATTTCCCACAGCCCATTGTGGACGCTGAGCTCCAACAGCCCCAGGACAGGAAGAGGTGGGCAACAGCATCAGTGCAAGGTGAAGGCAGCGTCAGCCCTCACTCTGAGGGCAATGTGGCTGCCTGAGCCCAAACCAGCCCTTCCTGCACTCTCCTTGTGAGGGATTTCCTGGAGACAGGATCTCCTTGTACCACAGACCTGGAGCCTGGCTTATGAGCAGGGAATCTAGCTGTAATAGGCTGGGACTGTGGCATTGGACCCACTCCCTTCTCCTAGGGATTTGGGATAACAACCAACATGACTTACCTTGCTCCCATCCTGCAACTTTGGCAGCTCCCCTTGCCCTCCATGCAGAATCTTCTTTTTGACCCCCTCCACATTCAGCAAGTAGGTTTCCTCCATGGCCGCTCCGGACAGCCCAGGAAGCAAGTCACAGGCACATGCACCTGGGCACAGTCTGCCCTTTCCTGAGCTCTGCCTCTTCCTCGAGGTATTGCCCTTTCTTGACTACCTGAACACACGTGGCATCTCGCAGGGCTGCTGCTGGCCTTTCACCTTCTGTGCTGCAGGCAGAGCTTGGAAGCCTTCTCCCCTTCCCCTGCCCTTTGGCTTGCAAGAAAGGTGGCCCTCTGTGGCACACCCTTGCTAAGCCCACAGTGCTCTGTTGTGTTCTGGAACTGCCTTTCTAATCCTCTTCCCACCCTGGCAGGTTAATCTGGGATTTGCCTGCCTTGTCTGTGAGGAATTAAAGAAGCTCCCTGATGAGCAAGGGGCCTCGTTCCTCCCACAGAGTGAGAGCTTGCAGCATCCCCTTCACACGCATCCTCCATTTGACCCAACCACACGAAGCATTTCAGCAAAGAAGCCCAGCAATGCTGGTGTGAGCTGGCTGTGGGTGGTCAGGCAAAAGCTGGCAAGAGGCAGGGCTAGTCTGTGCTCTGGAGACCATGGAGGAACAGACCAGGACTGAAAATGGTACTTTATTGAGTCTTGTTTGCAGACACAAGCATTCTTCAAAAACAAACTCCTACAAGGCCACCAGACCATCAAGTTTGACTCTGTAAGATGAAGAAAGCTGCACTACACTGTCCCAGGGAGAACTAAACCCCTCTGGGAGAACAGTGCTGAACGTTTACAGTAAATCCAATGTTTTGGCTGCTCTCACAGTTCTTTAGTTTCACCTGCCAAGCCAGCATAATGTACATGAGAGCAGCTCTTGTCATGGAGCCTCCAGCATTGCCCAGCACCACATCTGGCAGCAGAGGTGTCTGACTACAGCAAGACTTCAGCATAGTAGATGAACACCACTTCCAGCTCTGCTCACAGGTATAAAGACCCAGGCCTGCTCCTCACTTCTCCATGAGGGACTCCAGCTGCTCCTGCAGGGACATCATCTAGGAAAAGGGAGCGAGGCATTACAGGGAGGCATGGCTGGGACTCCTAGCAGCTCTAGCCTAAGCACTTCTGGGTTTCTGTGGATCTTCCTGCTTTCCCTGTATGTCACAGGGAGCTGTGTCTGGGCACCTCTGAGGCAGAACTCAGCACTGCCCACAAGGTGAAGCTGCACAACAGGAACCTAGCAGTGGGAACCTCCTGCCTCAGTGCTCACCTGAAACTCAGCAGAGCTGCCCAGGCAGGCAACCTGCCAAGACCCTACAGCCACAGCCTTTCTTGTACAGGGGTGCTGCTGCTGTCATGTTTTACCCTCATCAGCAATCCCAGCAACCTTGGACAGCTGACTAGATGTGCTTTGTCTCACTGTTCCTCCGAAGGAAGGCTGCAATCAACCCCATTTCCTGTGCCTCCTTGTGCCTTAGGAAGCTCCATGCAACTAGGTGTGAGGTACAGCCATACCTGACCTGCAACACTGGAGTTCAAAGCAACCGGTGTGGTTCAAGAGTCAGGAAATGCTGTCAGATGCCAAGCCTAGAACCGTGTTATGCCCCAGTTCTTCCCACTCCACTGTGGGAGTTTCCTCACCTGCTGCTTCTCTCGCTCTTCCTGCTGCTTGAACTCATCCAGCACAGCCTGGAGACGGGTCTGCAGAGACACACACCGCAGCACTGTTACCAATGTCTGCTCGGCTGAACGCCAAACGGTGCAGCAAGCCCCAGGCTGCACTGACACCCAGCCCCCTTCTCTCCTGCAGTTTCACAGATTGCTCTGTGTTCATGGGGAAATGCTATAATGTGTTTGGTCACACCACCATTTTTAACCTGGCAGACAAAAGCCCCTGGCTCTTCCAGAGCAGCAGCTGAATCAGTCTGCTGAATCTACTGGCAAGCCAGTGCTAAGCAAACGACCTCACATGCCAGCAGAGCTCTCACCTTCAGGGCTAGGTTCTCCACTTTCATGATGAGATCTTCCTGGCGCTTCCTCCTGTCCTGGGTCTCCTGGTGTTTACTTTTCAGGTTGTCAATCTGTTTCTGGATCCCCATGACTGGAAGGGAGAGGGGGCTCAGACCCAGAGCAGCAACAGATCTGGGCAGTGCAGCCTGCCTGGCACCCTGGGGATTCTGCTGTACTCTGCCACCCACTCACCTATCTGGTTGGACCCCTCGTTCTCCTGTTGCTGCCCATCAGACTCGTTCAGCTTGTCTTGCAGCTGCCTCTCCAAGTCCTCCTCAGCGTCCATGATGTTCAGGTCTTCATCATCGTGATGATCTCTCTCATCTTCATCTTCACTGCTGCTGCTGATGTCATTAAATATCTCTCGCAGTTCATCGTGTTCTAAGGGGGTGCAAAAGGGAAGAGGAAAAATGCCCGATGACCTCCCAGCACCCTTTGCCTGCCAGGGACGACAGCAGTACACAGGGCCTGTCTCAACACCCTCTCTCCTTTACTCTGGCTAGGGCTTGCCCCAAGAAGAATGGGCCCAACTGATTACTTTGTGGCTAGAAATAAAACAGCTTTCCCCACTGCACCTGAGGAGCCATGGCCTTGCTTATGTCCTGACATCCCTGGGGATGAGATGTCCAGGCTGGTGAGCGAACCATGGTTGTCTACTTCTTTTGTTTCATCTTCAGCAATGACTTCCCAGCCTGACAGCAGGAACAGATGAGTCAAGGGAAACAGAGGACTGTGAAAGATGCAGTATGACAAAAGAGTGCCAAAAACTGCGGGAGATCACTGCCCCTCCAATAGGGGTCTTGCAGCTATGGATATCCAGAACAAAACAATCGAGCCCCTTTATTTTGATGACTTCTCCTCTGCTGTTCCTTAAGTTCTTGCTTAGTACAATAGTCCACAAGGAAGGTCACCATGAAGAAGCAACAAGCTTTGAACAAGGCAATAAAGCAGATCCAAAACTTCAATGCTTCTTGTGTGCTTATCTCCCCGTACCTCACACCTACACAAAGCTGAACTTGTCTTTCCTTGTCTCCCCCATGTCACACATACTGTCCTGTCCTCACTTGAGCTTTCTTTCCTCCTAAAAGGATACGGACACTGACAGCTTCAGCATCTGTGCTCAGGAGACGTTTCACCTCTTTTTCCACATCAGGAGACTCAATATACTGGGCCAGAGAGGGGAAAGAGAACAGAGACACTGTTAAATGCCTTGTGTATGCTGCTGGTCAACTCCAACCCTCCGCCTCTGGACACAGCCCTGTTTCAAGCCTTTCTTCTCTTATTCTTTCTGCTCAGCCTTTGCTCATGCTCACCCTAAAAGTAATTATGTACCTCCAAAAAGCAATTCACCTATTTTGTACAGAGCTCCTTGGTGAATTGCATGCTCTCACTTTTCTATTTATACTACTTATGAAATAATACTTTACATGCAATGTATGCAGAAAGCCCTTGAGGTGCTGTTTGCTGATGTCAGGAAAGTCAACTCAACTTCTCCCTATCTCACTCAACAGAAGCTTTCGTTTTTCACTTTTAAAATAACCAGGAATCTTAATGCAGTGACATAAAATTTCTCCTGTGGGCTACAGGAACATTTGAAGTAATTTGTTTCCCAAATGTCATGCAAAATAGCGCTCCATCCTGTTCTCAGAACCTGCAAAGCAGAGATGAACAAATCTTCCCAGCCTCTGAGTGCTACATCTCCCCAACACCTTGCCTGGCTTGTGCATATGCACAAAGACAGCCTCTGAGCTCCATCTGTTCTCACGCCCCCAGCTGAACTGACAGTTACTCTATTTGTAGTGTTGCTTGTTGGGGAAGTGAACGGGCCATACATAGAGAGAACATTTGAGCTGGGAAAGCAGGACAAGTGAAACCTCACTTCTGTGCAAGCCTTCCCCTCTCTACAACCAGGAAGGGATGTGCTAAGGGAAGGCAGCTGCTGGAATGGAGTTCAGCTGTTCTCTGTACAGAGGATTTTCCACTCGGGAGCATCTTGGAAGACACAGAGGAAGCACCCAAAGAAGTGATTAAATTGGCTACTCTCCCTCCACCCTCATCTTGGGCAAGGAAACGTGAAGCAATGTTAAGAAATCACATTTTTCTGGACTAATATGACAGTTACAGCTCTAACATATCTACCTTCCTATCCCTTGATTATTGCATCTGCATCAGTGTCCAAAGGAACTCACCTTCTTCTTGGCTGTCTTCCGGAATCGTCTCTTGCGTACATTTTTCAGGGGAAGAGTGACTGTGACAGAGGGAACAGATTGCATGCGTCAGGCAGAGGGCCTAATGGGAGAGCTGCATGCCAAGAGAAGGTCCCTTCAGGAACAGGGAAAGCACCGAAAACAGAGCAGCAGCACAGCTGGGACACAGCAGTGAACACCCTGCCCAGCTCTGGGGACACTGGGGTGGTAGGATGGAGGGGATTGGCATAGTCTCTACTCACTGCCATGGTTCCAGATGAATTTCTTCTCTTTGTCCTTGTCCTTCTTCTTGTTTGCCTTGGGGTCAGTGCTTACAGTTTGCTCTTCCAAAGGTGGGTAGAGATCACCATCCACAGTGCAAACAAGCATCTGGAACGCCCGCACAAACACAAAGGGTGCTTATGGTAACTCAAGGGCAGACGGGGGAGAAAGCTCTTCTAGAGAACTAACGACTGCCTTGTGAGCCAAAGGGGATGCACAGGCACGGGGCATGAGACACAGTGTTTCACACCCAGCTCAGCTCCTATCTAAACACAGCAGCAGTTAAGCTCTTACAAGGACAATCACATTTCATGCTTCAGAAATGAGATTTCTAAACATCGAGTGGGGAATTTTAAACTGCTAATACTGTGAGAATACAGGAATTAGCCATGTTATAATTGGTGTCCAGCTGCCAAAGTGTACGAGCGTTTTTCTCCAGAGGGGAGCAAGTAATTAAGCTATTGGGGCAGGCAAGAAGGACATCCCATACCTGGCAAATATCCGCTGTCTTATAGAAGGTTTTCTTGTCAATAGTTTTTAAGCTCTCGATGATGCAGGGCAGATCTACCAGCTTGGCTGCCAGGGGCACCCGGTCTACACGGACAATCCCATGACGCCCGTCCGCTGTGGAAAGCCACGAGCCTGGTTAGTACTGCTGCTACACAGCTAAACACATGCAAGCTGCACAGCTTCACTTGTGGACAGAGGAGTTTTAAGATGCCCTGGTCCTGCTCACTCACCGTGTAGCTCAATGGTGAGCCTGTCCTTCAGGTTGACATTCCCAGACTGTACTGCTCGCCGCACAGTGGAGGCATATTCCTGGGAAGGTTTGACAGACTTATGTCAGCACTGGGTGTGCTTCCTTCAAGAATCACGAAGGTTTCTGTCCAGCTACCCAGCTTTAAACACCCCTGCCATCCCAACGCATGCACCTTCCTCCCAACACCAGTGGCTCTGCTATTCCCAGTGCCCTTCTCACCCCCCAACAGGATATGGCTGCAAGAGTGCACAAAGGTACCCAGCCAGAGAACCACAGCTCTGCAGGAAGATAAAGCTCCACTCACCCAGTTCTCATGCAGGACACAGTCTCAGCTTTAAGCATCTAACAAATAGCATTAAGCACACTGACAGCCATAATAACTGAAGACCTGGCACTTGTTAGAGGTCTACCCTTACAGAAATTTCCTCCCTAATCCTCTAAGCTGTCCTCTGAGCCTCCTGTTCAGTGTTGCAGGAGCACCTCTCAAGAGAAGGCCATGGAAAATCTGTTTCAAGGGAGTGGAAATGGGCTGCACAAAGCCAAAAGCATCCAGCCTGCTTCATGTCCTTTGCCAGGTCCACAGATTTCCCACTGACTTCACCCGCCTTGCAAATCCCTCTCCCACACCCGGTACTCGCCAAGGAAACTGGACTGAGAGGCACAGAAAACGTGATGGCAGCCTCTCCGGTTGTATCAGACTGGGCCGTCTCTTACTCCGCAGCACGAACTGGCTCTCCAGCTCATGTGGAGCATCATCCTTGCTCTTCCTCATCCTTTCTTCTCCAGCTTGGAAAACAAGACACAATTACTTCGTCGCCAAGGAGGCTCCTACAAAGGAACCCCGGCCCCGCACCCCCAAGCTAGGCTCTCGCCCGCGGCG